AAGTCAAACGTAACGGGATACGATGTTCGATCTCTTAAGTTGACAATCGGTAACTTTGGTGGACGTCTACTAGCCACTGCCGGTGGGTGGTTTTGTAACGACGTGTTCTTCTATGGCAACAAGCTCTTCCAAAGTAAGACCCTACGCAAACGTGACTCTTCGACCGCATAAGCTTACATGGTTTCAGGTCAATTTATCAAAGTTATCTCTGATAACCCCGAATCGATCATGACCACGTGGACATGGAACTTGGTCAACGTTGTCGTTTCGCTTGCTGGCTACTACGCTGCGTCCATGCTGATTGACAACAAAATGTATGGCAGGAAAACTATGCAACAGGTTAGTCTTATCAACTATATCCCTGTCTTCGTATGTGCCGCTAACATTTAGCCAGGTTGGTTTCCTGATGTGCTTCGTCATGTTCGTGGTTCCGGCGTTTCACTACGACTACTACACCAGCCCTGCGGGAATTCACGCTTTCCAGGCCATGTACTTCCTATCGTCCTTCTTCAACCAATTCGGGCCCAACTCGGTTACATTCCTCGTCGCCGGAGAGGTTTTCCCCACTCAGATTCGAGCCAGCGCCCACGGGTTTTCGGCCATGATCGGAAAGGCCGGTGCTCTCTTAGCTTCCGTGCTATATAACTATATCGATACCCGAACTAAGTTCTACGTCGTTCCCTGGTTTGGTCTTGCCGGCATGCTCATTACGTTACTTTGGCTCCCCGATACGACTGGTCTTGACCTTAAGGAGCAGGAGCGCCGGTGGCAATATATCCTTGATGGCCGCGAGAACGAGTACCACGGCATTGCCATCCACCCTCAGCATCTTTCGCTCTGGGAGAGGTGGACTGGTGTCGGAAAGAACTATCACCCCGACCTGGACATGAAGGCCAAGATCAGGGACATGCGCGCCGACTGGGAAGAGAGAGAGGCCGCTAGAGCTGGTAGCGACTCGGAGTCTGCGGCTCCGCTTGAAGACGACGAGGACTACACTCACGAGATCTACAACTACTTCAAGGGCCACGCCCCCATTAGTGTCAACTCGCTAAAGCATGAAAAAGGGGTAGACAGGTCGTCACCTTCCAATTCGAAGGGCGCGCCCAGCGATACGATAGAAACTCTGAACGAAAAGAGCCCTAAGGATTCTTCGTCAAGCTAAATGGACGCACTTCGCTTTGAATTCGGGTAAATATTCTGTATATGTTTAGAGTGGTCACCTTTTTAGGCCAATGTATAGAGTGAGGGCTGGATGAGACTAAGTATGATTTTCGATACCGTTGGAGGATCGATAGCATGGCGTTACAGGCGAAAGAACTGAATTGATAGCTATTCCGATTACATGATATATATTTATATTTGTTAAATGTGCTACTCGATGCTGTGAAATTAAAATTCTATTCTCACTTGTACTTGCTGAAAATACGTAGAAGAGAACTGGGTTAATTACATACCTACCTTGTACCACAGTAAGTGTAATTGTCAGTCAAGTGACAGCGCGTAAATGAGTCCCTTCAGTCGCGTCAAAAGTGGGTGTCATAGGTACCTCTCGTACCTAAGTATCTGCTGCTGTAAACCGACCGAGGGGCAACATTCCATTCTTTTAGCACCTTTAGTACCTTTAGTACCTTTAGTACCTATAATCATCCCCCAAAGAAATCTACAACCTCGTCTATTTACCTAACAAATTGACGATGAAGTTTTCACATTTCGAACTTGCGACACTGTTACCGTAGACGAATTCGTGATATGTTCAATTGCGCAAAATCTGCACTAAACTCTTCCTCGCCATGTCTGCCTCGACAAAGTCAATGACCCCTCGAAAGCAGTCGAAGCTAAACTTCGGCTCTGCAGCGAACGGCAAGGGTGGAAAGACGCCCATTGGGAAGAAGAAGCCACCGGCAAATGGGAACATACTTAATTTCTTCCAAAAAGTCGAAGTAGAAGAACAGCTTTTCTGCGCCGGTCCTGCGAATACATCCGCTTCTATCCCCAACGTTGCGCCGCCGCCACCGAAGGTCGACGAGGATCTATTTGGAGATGAAGGCATATCCCAGGACGCTGAGAAGGAGGCGAGATCTCCTAAACGGAGAAAACTGAGCCATGATGGAAACGAGAGTCTACCGCAAAACTCGGAGAGCACACGGAGTGAAGAATCTGATCAAACGAAGTCAACGGTATTAGAACGGACGGTTACAAAGCGAACTCAAAGGAAGGTTCCATTTTTAATCGATTCCGATAGCGAAGGCGATGATATAGAGTCCTCGCCATTAAAAGATACTACGGATATTAAGGCAACTGTTACCACACCCGAAATAAAAAATGAAACACCAGAATTAGATGCAGCCCCCGTACCGAATCTACCGGTGGACGAGAGTTGCCCGGAGGCCCCCGACATTCCACCCCTTAATCAAGGAGAGTCTGCGTATGAAGAATTTAAAGACCTTGAGGACGTTGAAGGGATATTTGACGACGTTGAGGAGTATGCCGACGGCGAGGGCGAAGAATTCCGGGAAAGGCGTTATATGGAAGAGCAGGCGCGACTCGAGGATGAAGAGGCAGGAAACTATACTTCCGATGGTGTTGTAGGCGAATTTCAAGAGCCCGAAGGAATCGTAGAATGCTGTCCGTTGTGTAATGCAAATCTAGCGGGTATTACTCCAGATCAAGCAACAGTCCACGTAAATGCTTGTCTGGATGGTAACCCGATACCCATTCCGAAGCCGAAGCCGAAGCCGAAGCCAGAAGACAAAACGCCTTCGGAAACGGTAGATGCACCCGAAATCAGCAAGCGGTTTGCCAAAGCTGCCGTACCGCGACCCGGTCAGGCCAATCCGATCAGTATCGGAAGCACGGTAAACAAACCTACTTCGGCCTTCAGCAAGTTGATGTCGGGAAACGCCGAAGATGCGGCATGGGCTTCGGCCGCAGCTGCGGAGCACGCGTCCCGCGGCAAACCTGCGTACAAGCGAACATGTCCCTTCTATAAGATCATGCCCGGATTCTCCATCTGTGTTGATGCCTTTCGATACGGCGCCGTGAAAGGCTGCAATGCCTACTTTCTTAGTCACTTTCATAGCGATCACTACATTGGCTTGACGGCTAATTGGTCCCACGGACCTATATACTGCAGTAAGGTCACGGGGAGTCTCGTGAAGAACCAACTTCGAACTGCGGCGAAGTGGGTAGTAGAGCTGGAGTTTGACGAGACAGTCGAGGTTCCGGGAACCGAGGGGGTAACAGTCACCATGATACCAGCCAACCATTGTCCGGGTAGTTCGTTGTTTCTCTTCGAAAAGACCATGGGAAAAGGAACTAATCCGAGAAAGCAACGGATTCTACACTGCGGCGACTTTCGGGCTTGTCCAGCACACGTCAACCATTCACTACTGAGGCCCGAGATGCTCGATACCGTCTCTGGCAAAATCAAGCAACAAAAGATTGACGTCTGCTACCTAGATACAACATACCTCAACCCTCGCTACTCCTTCCCACCACAAAACGACGTTATTTCAACCTGTGCTGAATTCTGCAAGTTGATATCTGACGAGAACAGTGATACGGCTGAAATTTTAGATACGTTAAAGCCAGGAAAAGGCAAAGTCAGCAAATTCTTCAAGAAGGAAGAAAAGAGTTCGTCGTCGGCTACTAAAACAGAAAGCAACCCTCAAAAGAACCGTCTCCTCGTCATCTGCGGCACCTACTCCATCGGCAAAGAGCGCATATGCAAGGCCATCGCACAGACGCTAGGGACCAAGATCTTCGCATCGCCAGCCAAGATCAAACTCTGCTCTCAGCTCGGCGACCCGGAGCTCGCGGCGCTCATGACGAGCAACCCGCTGGAAGCCCAGGTGCACATGCAGATGCTGATGGAGATCCGCGCCGAGACGCTGCAGGAGTACCTCGACGGGTACAAGCCGCACTTCTCGCGCATCGTCGGGTTTCGGCCTAGCGGCTGGAACTACCGGCCCGCGGGCGCTGCGAAAAACACCACCACCACCACCACCACCGCCACAAGCAGCGCCAACGCCTCCCCCGCCAGCGTGCCTACCACCACGCTCCTCCACGGCCTAGCCTGGCGTCCGCGCTTCAAGCTGGCGGATCTCGCGGCCCAGCGCGGGAGCACCCGCGAGGCTATGTGCTTCGGCGTGCCGTACTCGGAGCACAGCAGTTTCCGCGAGCTGGCGCTGTTCCTGATGGCGCTGCGCGTGGAGAAGGTCGTGCCGACTGTGAATGTGGGGAGTGAGCAGGGGCGGAGGCGGATGAAGGGGTGGATTGATAGGTGGCTTGGGGAGAGGAGGAAGGGGGGGGTTGTTAGGGTTTTGGAGGAGGGGGAGGGGGAGGGTGAGAGTGGGGATGGGGAGAAGGAGAAGGAGAAGGAGAAGGAGAAGGGGAAGGGGAAGGGGAAGGGGAAGGGGGTTGAGCTTTGGGATGGAAGAGATGGGAAGGGGGGTGGTGTTTGGTGGTAGGTAGGTTGGCAGATCATATATTCATATATTCATATATGGATTCATATATGGATAGGTAGTCTGAAGTATCGGTTCGCCCTTTTGGGTGCTGTTAGAATGTTATATGATTATAATGACTATTGATCATTTATCAGTGCTTTGTAGCTTGGTGTGCACATAGATAGAATCGAACCTGAACCAGAGAATGAATGCAATTGCCTATCCTAACCAGATAGGATTTGTCCAAGTTATGCGGTATACATACATACATACATACATACATATATATTTGAAACTTTCTGCCGTTGAAAGGATATCTAAGTTAGGCAGTTGGTGCCCGAATATCGTCACACTTGAGCAGTTCAGGGCACTAAGTTAGGATCATGAGGCAGAATTAGAGGACTATAATAGTCGCTAATCTATATGAACTCATCTCCATCCGTATGTCGTGGTATCATAACGACACCTAATTATTTCTTTCCAGGTCTTCCAACGGCCTTACCTGGTTCCGGTTTCCTCTTCCTGGAACCAGCCAAAGAAAGCATTAGTTGTTTCTCCTGCATCTCTTGTGTCGTGTAGGTATGTCAATATTTTAATATGCCTTCGGTCTCGCCTATTGATATCGACAGCGGGATTCTTGCTAATCAACCCTTATCTTATATTGCCGTCCTTTCTTTTTTTTTGACCAGGCCTACTCTGTCCTAGATTCCCTGAACGCCATCTGCTCATTTCCCCTTACCGGCTTGCTGCGCGGCTTCTGTGATGGTGATGGTGGTTAGCCCGTATGGGTCTTATTTCTTACCCATCGGTACAGTACATAAGGGGGAAAAAAAAGGCAAGCAGTGTTTGACTCTTAAATGTGATAATGGAATGCAATAAGGGCTGGGCTGGAGTAGTTACGAACCTCTTCTCGTCGCGTCCTCCAAAAGCGGGACGTCTACGGCTGCGGCAGGAAGATGGACGTAGCGCACGACTGAGCCTCGGATGAAGACGTTCTTAACGGAGCTCTGTATCCACTGTTAGTTAGGTAGTCAAGGCGAAGCTAATGCCAATGTGCACTTGGGGGGTTGGTAGGAGGGCTGGGTAGCTGTGGGCTCTAGATCTGTCATGTCCTAGATAGCACTAGATATGCTAGAAAGGGGAGGGAATACAAGGGCATGGATCGGGTTGAACTCACCAGATGCGGGTACTTGATCTCTTCGACAACCTGTATATCATCCAGCTTAATATTGAGGTACTGATCCACGCTCTTCAGCGTGCCTCGGATCTGTATGTCGTTCTTGAGCTCGACCGTCACCTCGTGGTCAATGAGCGTCTTGAAGAAACTATCCCGTGCCCAAAGTTAGCCCTTCATCCCTCCTATTTCTCACCCACCCTCCCTCTCCCTCTCTTCTTCTCCCGCCTCCCGCCTCCCGCCTCCCGATTCGCGAATAATTCACGTGACGAAGCACGGGAAGCAGCGCTTACTCCCAAACTCCGAAGTATGAAACAGAAACCGTTAACAAGACCAGCTAGCCCCCAGCGCAACCGCATCGCAGAATAGCAACCCTGGCATTCCCTGGCATTTTGACAACGCCCCTAGGTACATCACACCCAACTTCGCAGGGAAAACGGGATATCTTCGGTCGGGGAAACTTGCTTTCTAAACCGCGAGATTGAGAAAAAAAATTGAAGTGACTTAAGAACGTACCTAAAGAATAGCATATTGTCGATTTGTTAAATCCTCTAGGGTTATATGAGGGTCTGAAAATCCGAATGCTGCACCGTAGTTTGATGTGAATGCGATGCCCGATTTGTTTGATTTGTTTGATTTGCTAGACGTCTCACTTCAAAGTCTCTCTTTCCAAGACGTAGGTATGTATAAATAAAAGTGGAGTCATATCCTCTTTATGTCACGTGACTAAACTATCATTGAAAACCATCGCATTCCTTTTTTTTAACCAGTTTTTAACCAGCAATTCTTACAAAAAAGTTGATTTTGTCTACAAATCAAATAAATCACCATGCATTACATGAAAACAGACAAATCAAACTCGTAAAAGGCATTATTACACATAATAATGTAACACACATGAGCGTATGGAAGTGTAAGTTATACTTCGTATTCCTTATGTCTCTGTCCCTGTCATCCGGCGACGGATTACCATTGGAAATCTATGTCCATCCCGTCATTCCCTGCGTGGGGGTCCAGGTTCCAGCGGAGATTCCTTTTTATTTTCTTTTTCCAATCTTGGCAGGGTTGACCATCATTTCTTGCTTTCTGTTTCTTTTTTTCCCCTCTGCAGAGTTGTCTCTTGAAATCAACGCCACCCCTTCGCCTTACACATCTTTGGTAGCCTGACCACTTATGTGCGTGTCCGAGCAAAAATACACTCCGCCCTAAAATAGTAGACACGAACTAAATAAAAAGGGGAACTGAGAGAGGAAGATGAAGGGAAAAATAAAATCAACGGCAACCAGAGCTGGCGAATAAGGGGGTATCCATCCGTTCGTCTCATTTCATTCCATGCAATCTTCCTCCCATTCAGACTTCCCTAGACCGTATCCTTCCCACCGAATGTGCCAAATATGCAATCGCATTAGAAGAAAAAAAAAAGGGAATGAAGCAATATCGCGTGGGCGACGAAAAAATGGTTTAGGAAATTCGAGAGCGAGTGTCCTGACGCCCCATTCATGTTCCACTCGTCAACTTTCGAGACCTGCGAGTCGCAGAGCAGCTCGCGCCGACCGGCCACTGAAAACCAGTCCCATTCAACACACCATCCCTGCAAAATGACTCCCCTACTATGCTCCCATCGCCCGAAACCGGATATGGAAAGGTATAGGTAGTAAGAATCGAGATTGTCATAACGTCGTAACGGCTCACAAAACAAAGTATCGTGTGGCTTGCAGCTTCTTTCAGCTATCATCTTCGGCGTCATCGTCTTCATCATCATCAGGCGTCACCGGCTGCGTCTTCGCTTTCTTATTCGGCGCCGTGGAATTGGAGTCGGACTTCCTCTTAGAACCGGCTTTGACAGGCGCTGTCTCGCCCACGCCGCCGTCCTTGTCCTCGCCTGTGGACCTATTCTTCTCAATCTCGGCTACCTCTTCTGCAGTTAAGAATCGCCCACCGGGACCTCGAGGTCTTCGCATCGCATGATTATGCCGGGACTCGTGAAGGTAAGGTTTCCTCCCTTTACTCGTCAGACGCAATGCTTCTTCTAAGCGCTGCCGGGCTACTCTCCTCTTGAGGATGCGGTGGAATTGCTTCGCGTTGACGTATAACGGGGATTCTTCCGCACCCGCAGCTATCTCGGGCGATTGAGGCGGGGGCATGGATTGTGTCGGCGGCATCGGGGGAGGTGCAACGGCGGAACGGCCGCCGGTATGGTTCATCATTGGCGCGCTCGGGACACCAGGGCTGGTAACCTGGCTCAGACGTCGTCCGGGTAGTTGATTCACATTATTCAGCTGCTGAGGTGATCGGGGGTCGCGCGAGTCTTTTTTCCCTCCGGGCGTCATCCTCGGCGAATTTTGAGGGAGGCTAGGATCCGATGGCATGTATGATGAATAGCCCGTTCCACCGGCGGCGGCAGCGGTCGCGGCCATGGCAGCCGCCTGAATCTGGGGTACCCCGTAGTGCATCCCCTGCTGGGGCACGCCATACTGAGTTTGGTACATGTTGTGTCCTTGTCCCGGCGTCGAGGTTTGGTGTTGCGATGGTAGGATTGGCGAAGTCTGAACGCCGTGTTGATGTATGCTGTGACTCGTTGGGGACGTGATGTTGTTCCCAGGACCAGAATTTGTGTAACCAGAATGCGCCGACTGTGGTGGTTGCTGGTATTGCGCGTAGTCCATCATTATCGGGGACAGGTAACGCGCGGGGCGGCAGGGATTTTGCAATACCCAAACGTCGATGCCTCTTGCGATGCGAATCAGAGACGAGCGGGTAGGTCTAATAATAAAAATCCGTTGGCCACTTAGAAGATACTAGTGGTACAGGCTCTTTGCTGAGATGATGAAACTTAAGACCGTGCTCAAAGCTCGGCTTGGGTTGCCTGATGTCCTTGAGATAAAAGGCTGTAGGGTTGGCTACAGTTGGGCATACGCGTTGGGATAGCCCTTGATCACTTAGGTAGCCGCGAAGTAGGCTGGATGTGCATCCAATCTATTGGATATGCGCGGATGAGCTGGCAATGAATGATGTGGTAGGTGCACGCAGATGGTCGCACCAGGGCATATGCAAAGCGAATGTATCTCGCGGGGTGGGATCAGTGCTCCAGATCCTAACAAAGACGGAAACTCGACAGCCACGTGAGAATCCGGGGGATACGTGAGCCGCTATGAGGCTATCCAATTCAATGAGCCTATGATAATAGTTCTGCGGGAGCGGGTAGCCTAGCTAAACAGCTCAAGGTTGTTCTCGAGGCCTATTCGTAACGACCGTTTGGTTGTGGAGATCTATCCAACCAAAGATATTAGACATTAGATTCGCCTTGTTAAGTATAAGAAAAGCTCGGATGATGGGAGGGGGGGTGGAGGGGGTGAGAAATCGTCCTTTTTTCGCGCTGGACCACCACTTGATGCGCTGGCATGCATGACGGAATATGCATAGACTGGGCCCCACCCTGTCGACCAGCTCACACAGAGCGACAGGAGATCCAACTCGCATTGCCCAGCAAGTGGCGCAAGGCAAAGGCTGCCCGATGCCAGAGCTTGCGAGGAGAGCCCGTCTTACGCAATAGGAGCTAGGCTATACAAGCTCTATGCGATGTTGTTGAAAATTCCAAGGCTGCATCATGGGCAATTGGCCAAGAAGCATATGCATTTCTCGAACACATGCAACGTACATATATGTAGCTCTTTTAGGAAGAGGCAGTGGATTGCTAGCCACACCAAGGGCAGAAAAAGGTGTGCGAGAAAAAAGGGACAAGAAAGGAAAAGGAAAGGACCGAGACGAGTTACGCAAGAATGAATGGTTGGTGCCTTGGGCGGAGGAGTTTGCGACTCGAAGAGGGTATATCCGATCGTCAAGCCTTCCCTTAGTGGGAAAGAGACGGGATGGGTGTGGTTGCGGTGAGAATGGTGTGTGGATGTATCGTTGCAGATGGGAAGATGGGGGATAAAGGGACAGGCGGCGTAAGTGTGCGAAATACATGAATATTGTATATACCTTTTTTTGGCAGGTTCCCGAGTACTTGGGTTCAACCTACGCAGGGTACCGGACTGATGGGACCAGTCACGCCTATGTCCACGCAAAAGGATGTTAGTAGACTGATTCGAGAGGAAGAAAATGAACGAGTAGCAATTATATGAATTGGACCGGAGCGACAATTGCTACTATGCTTAAGAGGGAATAATGAACAAGAATATTGATGAAAGGTGCATCCGAGGGAACGATGTACCATTCTGGGGTAAGCTTGCGACAACGTAATATATGATCAAAAATAGCTGGGTGTAGCTATAATACCGGGATTGTGGTGGCTCGGAGTTGTTTGTGTAGGAGGAAGCTAGCTAGCTAGCACGACCCGGTGTGGAAGACGGTGTATGATGTAAGGTAGGTAGGTAGGTAGGTAGGTAGGTAGGGGGAGCATACCAAGGGGAAAAGGGCGAAGAATTAATATCGCGCCTCGAGATCTCCCCGCGTCTGAGGAGGCTTTCAGAAGCGAAAGCTACGAGGACAGTAATTGTAATCTGATTGAGCCGAGGAAATCTGAACAATTGTTGTCCGCAGATAGCATCAATCACCTGATGAGTAGGTAGAGCCAATGGCGATAATGAAGTTAGTTTTGTTGACAGTGATAGGCCTCTGTATCTATTCGCGAAGAGGTTAGTTATATAGCAGGCATTGAAGAGCTCGATGATTTGCTGGATCCGAGTGGATTTCTTGTCGCCTTTTTGCGCTGAAGCGCTTACTGGCTAGAATTGTTTCTTGGACATATCTCGTTCGATATTGGCTTATAGGTTTTTTTAAGAAAAGAATAAGAGACCGCAAAGGGACACGGGAATTTGTCTCATGCTTATGAGGACAAAGGAGGGAAAATAGTAACCGGAGGAAACAATACGCGCCGTACCTTGAGGATGTCTTGCGACACTTTGCTCAGGCCGCTGTGTAAGTTGTATGTAAGTCGTATACAACACGACGGGCTTTGTGTACACACACGAGGGCGGCCGGTTAGAGTGAAAATAAGTATCAGTAGACTCTTGCGGTCGCGCGCATAAGAGTCTCTCCGCGCGTCAATCCGACAGCACTGCCTACAATAGGAGTATCAGAGTCGGCAGGCGGCTATGCAGATAGTCGCAGATAGTTGCGGACAAGTTGATATATAGCGAGGTGTAGCGCGTCGCTCCTGGTTGGCTGTATTTTTGTGTTCTATATGCTCCAGTTTGTGCTTGTCTTTGTACCTGGATGCTGGATCTTTCAGGTGACCAGGAGAATGTGACTGGACAGATAGGATTGAGTGCGGAACCTGTCAGCCCAGATAATGCGGAGCGGATAAATGTTGGACGGGATCAGTATAGAGTTATAAACCAGGGCACCCGAAAAGGCTCAATTTGATTCGATGTTTTAGAAACAGACTTTCTGGGAGCTGTTTGGATGAAAAAAGACAGAGCGTGGAAGGAAGGCCAATTGATTCGATGAATTTTTTAACAAGTGGTGGACCGAGAGGGGATTGATTGGTGAGAAATGGACAGAGGCAAGTAAAAAGTGAGGGAAAGCGAGCCCAGAGGGTCCCGACGTTTTAATGGGGCTGCATTTGTGACTAATCAGCTGCCTTGTTAAAATCTGCGTTGTGGGCCGTTGTGGATTGGTGTGGATTAGTGTGGATCGGTGTGGATCACACACTGCCCCCGCTATTGTGCCAGCGTAGGGATAGACACACTGTGATTGCAAGAACAGCCATGTTTAGGTACCGCTGAAAAATTATGTGGCGCCTGGGGCTGAGGGTGATTTTCTGGTTCCTCGCTTCCTTTGCTGCTTTTAGCTTTTGCGACGTTTTATTATTATTACATTGCCAAATGCGACTTATTTTCCTTTCATCACATCTGCAATATGTATAAGTCGCGTTGTGATTGCAAGGTTTTAATATTTCCTCATATGATTTGAATGCACCATATAATT